AAAAATAAAAAATAGAAAGCGGACATTCCTGCTCTCTCTTTCCTGCTCCTTTTCCAAATGCACTCTCCATCTCCAGGGCCAAACTAAAGCAGACATGGGCCAGTCAAGTAAAAGCCACTTGGGTGACAGCTGCTAGAAGAAAACGTCTCCCATGGAAAAATAAACTGGTGCTGGGTCGGGTTAAAGCGTTAGGCTTCTGCCAGTCATAAGTCAAAGCCCAGCCATCAACGAAATGAGTGCTTGGGTCCCTACCCAGCTCCGAAGGTCAAAGAGGCAATTCTCCCCTAGTCCAAGACTCTCGGAGGCTCCTACATGAGTAGGAAGCCACAGCGGGATGCTGGGAGAGAATCCATGGCGTGAGGACAGTCTCATTGGGTTCTAACTCCACATGTAATTAAATTCTGACCGTCCAGGGGATGCAAATAAGGGTTGGTCACCCAGCATTCCGGATCCTTGAGGTTGTCTTAGCCAGAAGAGAAACAGACATGTTTCCAAAAACACCACACTTCTGACCCACTACATATGTCCACTCCCCTGGCCCAGAGCCCAAGCAGGATTTAATCGGAGAGTCATCTGCCTTTTCTACTGCTCTCTATCCCAGTCAGGTCAAATAGCATCCAGCCAGTAAGACTGCTGCCTCTGCGGTCCAGATCCCACTAAGCTTAACTCCTCAGTCTCCATTTGAGGGTCCTAAGGGAAAACTTCCAGGCCAGGGTTAAGACAGGCAGGGCCAGCCAACTGTTTTCCACTCCTGGCACATGAGCATGGCCCTAGATCTTCCCATCAGGCATAACAGGAGTTAATTACAGCCCTTAGCCACTCCTGCCAGCACCCCTGTAGAAGTATTAGCCTCTCAGAGAATTCACTCCCAGTGCGAATGGTTTTTTCATTAATCAGCTTCATTAAAGACAGAATTAAAGGTTTGCAGCACCTAAGGAGGGGTTATTCCACAGGCAGAGGAGGATGCTCCAAATGCCTTAGAAATCTAGGATTGGAGCCCAAGTCTCCAAGTTCTCTGCATGCAACAGACAGTAATCTCAGAGAGCAAGCCTGCTGCCAGTGAGGAGGGCGGCCCCCCTTTTTTTCCCCCCCCCCCCCCCTCTGCCCACTGTGCGCGGCAGCACTACAGCCAGATGCAGCTGTTCGGTTGGCCCATTAATTACTAGATCGCCTGCCTCTTACCTTTGTGATCTCTGTGAAATGAGTGTGGAATTGTGAGATGTCTTTTTCACTCTGTTATTTTGAAACTAATGTGTGTAAAACGACTGCTAGTGACTCACTTTTCTTGGTTATTGAAGGAATTATTGATTGGAAATAATACAGAGGGTTTGAAGGCTAATTTGAGAGTGTGAAATTTGTGAGGGTTGAGTATGTTATGAGAAGGAAAAGAGACATGTTAACCTAGGGAGGTTTAAACAAAGGCCAGACCACTAGCTAATTTATAGCCTGCCTGTAACTAACAAGCTATTACCTCTCCCTCAACCTCCAAGGCAAAAAGGGAGGGGGAAGAAGGAAGAGAAGAGAAGGGGAACTTTATTCTGAGAAGTGGCTTTTCCGTTTCAAAGTGGCAGAATGATGTTACTTGGTGATATTCAGCAGAGGAACTTTAAGACAATTTTAAGACAAGGCGTGTGTTCCCAGGACTTCCCACTTCTTGCGCCTGCTCACCTGCACCCCATAATCTAGGATAATTCCGTGTGTTACAGCCGCAGCATTTGCCAACCCACACAGGCGCTTGGGAGGGGCAGGCAGGGAACATGGCAAAGCCCCGCCAGCGCTGGTAGTAAAGCGACAGGGTGGTCCCAAGACATGGCTTACACACGCTGGGCCTGCCTGAGACGTCGTGGCGGGCCACAGGGAACTGAGGCTGACTCTGTGCTCCTGGGTGTGCAGTGCAAGAGAATGGGCGGGCAGTAGGTGTATCCTCCCTGCGTTTTCTCTACAAAGGTTAACCGTTCAAAGTATATTGTCTGTGTCTGTGTTTCTGCACTACATATGGAAAATTTTAGCCTCCGGATGGCATTATGAGGATATAACAATTTATAGGCCAGATTGAAAAGGATTAATTCTGTGGTCCTGACCCAATTTTTAATGTTAAAACCAGTTTGTTTTGATAATCTTTAGGTTAAGTATATTTGGCAGTTCTTCCGAGTGAAAAATTTCAAGGATTTGACTGAGAGATAGCTTTGTGACGTCCCAAGGGCCCTGGGGTGATGCAAAGATCTATTCTCTCTTCCTAAAAAGAAACATTTTTGAACTAAATTAGACTGATTCAATATACTTGAAATTACATGAGGAAGCTTTGTCAAATAAAATTATTAACAGTGTTCTACTTAGATACAGATATTTTGAACATTATAGAGGTTTCCGTCAGCTTCAGAAAAGAACTTACACCGATTCAGAGCCAAGGTCAAACCAAAAACTTTCAGAAATGACACATATCCAGTCAGGGACGTAGGGCAAGCATGATGATTCTCTGCATCTGCCAGTGATGCTCCGGGTGTTTGTGTTTCATCTATTGGGGTTTATAAATTGTTTTCAATGTTAAATACACCATCTGCAATAAGCCATGTGCCACTTATTATCCTTTATATACAAACTAGAGGCCCAGTGCATGAAATTTGTTCATGGATGGGGGGAATCCCTCATCCTGGCCTGCAAACTCTCCAATCTGGGATCCCTTGGGGGATGTCTGACAGATCAAACCAACCTGGGACTGCTGGCTCCTAACTGCTCGCCTGCCTGCCTGCCTGCCTGCCTGCCTGATCGCCCTTAACTGCCTCTGCCTTGCCCGGCACCCGGGACCCAGGATTCCCTCCCTCTGGCCAGCCCCACGCACCCAGGACCCCGGCCAGCTTCACCCGGGCCACAGCTGCAGGAGACCTCTGCCTTGCCCGGCACCCCTCTCCCGGGCCGAAGCCTGGCTGGTCCCCATTCCTCTCTTGCGAGCTCATTTGTGCCTGGCTGGTCCCATTCCTCTCTCCCCAGTGTTGAGTGTCTGAGCTGTTACGGCATGATGACGGCATGACGGTGTGATGACCATTTGCATATTAACTCTTTATTATACAGGATTGTTTGTTTTACTAAAATGTTGCTGTCTTAGAATGTCATATCTTATAGGAAAGTAAAGGTTTTAATCAATTACATTTTAAGCAAATCCATAACCATGAGAGTTTTGAATTTTGTCATATTAGACAGCCATTGCTTTACTTTGGTACATTTAGGTCTTTAGAAAAACCCATGAAAAGGACTCTGACTTTCCAAATTGCAGGCTTCTAACTGGTCATATCTTTGAACTAAATAAGGATTTGTAGAACTTCAGGGAATTATTAACTAGAGATAATACAACAATGTATATATAGAAGGTGGTACCCCTTCCCAGCATACCTAAGTAAAATATACAGATAGGCCCTAGCCAGAAAAAAAGTGACATTCAGGGGTAAATTTAAGCTTAAAAAGGGGAAATAAAAAAATCTCTTCTACCAATATTCACCATTAATAAGAACTAAAAATGTGTGCCTTTTACCTAAATTGTTCCCTGCAAAGTCAACTAGCATGTCCCTCTCCCAGGCATTTTTCTAGGAAGCAGCCGAGTTGGATGCTCTGTTTAAAAGAAGGTAAAATCTTTGAGGTGGCATTTTTAAGGTTTTGGAAAAAAAAAAAAACAGCAGAAATTAAGGTTCAGTAAACACCAAGAGTTAAGCCAGTGAGCAGAAGGTTTAAAGTACTAAATTTGACTAGAAATAGATTCCACCCTTTCCCCAGAAATCAGGCAGAAGATAAATCCTTTAATGACAAGGGCATACAAGGGGTGGGACCGGAGCTGTTTGTACTTTCCTCGATTCCTGGATACTGGCCAAAGCAGGGCTCTGGGTACCGTGTAAACTCTCTTAAGTCCTCATCCTAGAGTAAACCCCTCGGGAATTCAGTTCAGTAGGTTCTTAACCATCCAGTTCAGGGGGTGCTTCAAAAACATTAAAACCATCTCAGGCACTTTTTAATCACAGACAAGGGGCCTGAGAACATAGGTAATGCAAGCTTCCCCCACCAGGAGACATACAGGAGGCATCAAGAGGGCGGCCTCTGCATGAGCTCGGGTCCTCACCACCGTGGTAAGTAGGAGTAACCTACCTGGCAAACTTGTCTGTGACTGTACGCAGTAAGGCCACTCACTCCAGGCTTAGGAGTACGGATTTCACCCCCTACACTCTTGGCTGGGAGGGGGGCATGCCCCTGTCCCACCCACCACCGGCAAGGGGACAATCACAAGGGATGCTAGACATCTTGCATGTGTTTTCTTTTGGTAAGTGTGTCACCCACACCATATAAAAACAGCCCCTCAAAGAAACAGAATAATTTTGACCCACAACCCCTAAAGAAAAAGCACGTGATTTTTTTCTGTACTCAGGTTCGGCCTCAATACCAACTAAAGAATCGTGAAAGCTGGCCCCAGAGGGAAGTTTTAATTATAACACCATCCTACAATTAGATCTTTCTGTAGGAAGGAAGAAAAATGGTCAGAAGTCCCATATGTCTAAACTTTCTTTGCCCTAAGGGACAAGCCAGATTTATACAAGACTGTAAACTTGATCCCTAGCTCCTGGCAATCACAACCCAAAATCCACCGACCTTAACTTGCCCCAAGACAGATGAAGGATCTGGTCATACTTTAGCCCAGATCCCCTTCTCACCCTGGGACATGAGACAAATTAAAAGTGATTTAGGAAAGTTCTCAGAAGACCCTGACAAATATATTGAAGTCTTTCAAAACCTCATTCAAGTATTTGATCTCTCGTATAGAGACATCATGCTCATATTAAACCTGACCCTCTCAGCCACTATTAGAAAAAGCAAGCCTGAAACTGAGAGGTGGAAAATAAAGCACTGCCAGTTCTGTATGATAGAAGGTCTCAGGAGAAGCAAGTCTACGCCTGTTAATTACTCCAAACTACCATCAGCCAGGAAGCCGATAAAAACCCCTTGGCTTTTTTAGAAAGACGCGGAGGCATTGGTTAAGCACACTAACTTCACCCCAGATTCAGAACTGGGACAAGTAATTTTAAAAGACAAATTTATCACTCAGGCTGTCCCAGACCTCAGGAGGGTGCAAGAATTGGCTATTGGTCCCAAGAGTACTTTAGAGAACCTCCTGAAAGCTGCTGCCTCTGTGTTCCATAATAGAGACCAGGAGGAGGAAAAGAGGAAAGACAGGAGGAGCCAGGCCAGAACCACGGCTCTCAGTGCCACGCTTTGGCAGTAGGACCCCCAGTCAGAGCCCGGAGGCGAATGGCCAGTCCTGGTCACCTGCTGTAACTGCAGGCAGGTTGGATGTATGCTCCGACTTGCCCTAAGGGGCGTGGTGGACCCCGAAGCCCTGTCCTGCCTGTCAGGGAAACCACTGGAAGTCCGACTGCCCCTGGAGACTGAGGCCCCTTGGGGCAGGGCTGGCAACCAGCTGGCCCAACAGGACTGATGGGGCTCGGGGGTCCCCCAACTCGGCTTCTCAGAGGACTGTCCTCTCCACCTAGGAGCCCCAGGTAAGCCTGACAGTGGGGAGGCAAGGAAATGAATTTCCTCCCCGATGCTGGAGCCACCTTCTCTGTGCTCCTCCCAAACCCTGGTAAGCCATCCTCAGAGGCTGTAGCCGTTACAGGCAGGTCTGGGAAGCCAAGAAAGAGATCTTTTTCTCAGCCTTTAGGGCATAGCTGGGGTAAGTTGTCCTTCCCCATGCCTTCCAGACCCTGCAGAAAAGCCTCATATCCACATGAGAGACAGTATCCTCCCAACACTGAGGCTCGAGAAGGACTGAATATTCTAGAAGGCCATCTATTCTAGAAGCCCAAGGTTTATTGAAACCATGTTTTAGTCATTGCAATACTCTCATCTTAGGGGTACAAGAGTCTAATAGAGAAGGAGGACTAATTCAGGACTTATGACTAGTAAATGAGGCAGTGAGTCCTACCCACCCAGTAGTCCCTAACCATTATGCTTTACTTGCCCAGATTCTGGAGGACACAGAGTGGTTTACAGCACTACATCTCAGGGGTGCCTTTTCCTGTAAACCCCTACATCCTAACTCACAGTCCTATTTGCCTTTGAAGATCCTAATAATCCAAGCAGTCAGCTAACATGGACAGGGCTACACCAGGGTTTTCGGGACCAGCCCTCATTTTTTCGAGCAGGCCTTTAAACAATTCAGAAGGCCTTTTTACAGGCACCTGCTTTAAGTCTCCCAACAGGTCAGCAGCATCAACTCCTAGATTCATCTGTCGTGAGTGAGCCTTGAATGCCAGCACAGGAGAAGGATGAAGCTGCAGTGCCATCAACTGAATCACTGGACTCCTACTTACGTGAGCCCCTAGGGACCTGAAACTTCTCTTCTGAGGAATCCTGAAGA